TAGTCATACCACGAAATGTTCTTAGAACCCCAAAAACGTTCAATAACAAAAACGGTGTCTTAGAACATAAACCCGATGTGTTAAATCAGGCCAGTCCCAGCCAGAAAGGTTCCAAGAGCACTCCGTGGAAGCCACCAAGGGTTCTTAGAACCTTGTTTGGTGGGGCTCTAGGCGAGCCAGGACGCTTCGCCACTGCTTGATGTAGAGGGACGTGCCCGACTTCAGTGCAGGGCTCTCAGGCGGCCCCGGGGGTGCTGCGACGCGTCGCCTGCTGGGGGCGCTGCGCCCAGCGGGGGGCAAGGCAGAGGCAGCGCCCGCCGCCCGCTCCGCGGCCGGGCGAGACCCTCTTCGCGCCGCCGGGACACGCGCCCGGCTGCGAGCACCCGAAGCCAAAACACACTGCTCTCTACTCGTCCTCCTTCTCCTCCTCCTCCTGCTCCTCCTCCTCCTCCTCCTCCTCCTCTTCCTCCTCCTCTTCCTCCTCCTCTTCCTCGCGCTCCTCCGCCGCCTCCTCCTCCCGCTCCTCCTCCTTCCCCTCTTCCTCCACCTCCTCGTCCTCCTCCTCCTCCTCCTCGTTCTCCTCCTCCTCCTCCTCCTCCTCTTCCTCCTCCTTCTCCTCCACCGGTCTTCTGAGAAGCTTCCTGACCCTTCTCCGAAGCCCCGGCGCCTTCTGAGAAGGCCTGCTCCCTCTCGGATTCCCCCCCCCTCGGCGCGCCACCGTTACGGTGTGCACTTGACCCCACCTCCGCTCTGAGCTGCTTGGAGTGTTGGCGGCAGCACCAGCAACGACCATCCAGTCCCCACCTTCTCTTCCTCCTCCTCCTCCTCCTCCTCCAACTTCTCCTCATCCTCCTCCTCCTCCTCTTCCTACTCCTTCTTCCTTCTCCCCACCTTCTCTCCTCTCCTGCCTCCCCGTCCCCCTCCTCCTCTTACTCCTTCTTCCTCGCCCTCCTCCTCCTCTTCCTCTTACTCCTTCTTCCTCTCCGTCCTCCTGCTCCTCCTCCTCCTCTTCCTCCTCATCCTCATTCTCATCATCACTATTATTAGTATTATCGGCATCAACATCATTATCACCACCACCACCACCACCATCATCATCATCATCATCATCATCATCATCATCATCATCGTCATCATCAGCATCACCATCGTTACCATCAATCCCATCATCGTCATCATCATCATCGTCATCATCGTCATCATCATCATCAGCACCACCATCATCATCATCATCATCATCATCATTGTCATCATCATCATGATCAGCATCATCGTCATCAGCATCAGCATCAACATCAACATTATACTCAGCATCATCATCAACATCGTCATCATCATCTTCTTCATGATTATCGTCATCAACATCGTTATCGTAATCATCATCGTTTCGTCATCATCGTTATCGTCATCGTCATCGTCATCGTCGTCATCATCATCATCACCAACATCATCATCATCATCATCTTCATCTTCATCATCATCATCATCATCATCATCACCAACATCCTTTCTTCCGTTCCCGGCTCCTCTTAGAGGCGAAGCTGCTTGGATACCCGCTTCGTATGTTCTGGATGGTCCTTGCATCCTGCCGCTGCCCCCGCGTGATCCAGGCCTGCGGGACGGTGTCTCGTCAGGTCGTCTCGCAACAAAGCATCCTTGCAGGCTGCAGTCACGCGAGTACGACGATGCACGTTCTCTTGCACAGGGTGAAAAGAAAAATGTGAACCCCGTACCCTACTGTCTGGTCCGGGTTCTCATAGACGACTCGAGTTTCCAACGGGTCGGAAAGTGTTTGCGTTTACATGATATTCTGACTGCTGCTGTCGGATGGTACTATGCGCAGACCCCTAAGGTTGGCCTGATCTTGCAGGCTGCCGACAATGGGTTTGTGGCTCCTGCGGTGAAATCGTCGTCGCATTTGTCGTCCTATGCTCGTCTGGTCGATATACCCGCTGCCGCAAGCACACGAGAAACTGCTGGCACGAAGTGCTTTCGGGCCAGCCTGAAAGGGGCCCAAGAGCAGGAGAGGCTGGCCAAGGTCCTCCACAGGAGGGGACGGGTGGCCGCCCTGCGTAGGGCAGCCCAAGGTACAGTTTGCACGCTGTGGAGCACGGGGCTCATTCCCGCTGGCGGGCACGGGGCGGAGTAATGGTTTGACGAACCCGACCCTGAGGACCCTTTGAACCGTTGCGGGACCCTCAGTGGGCGCGAAGCGACCGGGTTCTGTAACTGCCTGGCCAGCGGCGCAAGCCGACCCCTTTAAAGACCCCCAATGTTGATGCCACGATTCAGTCAGTGCAGCCTTAAGCCTCGGTCATCTGGGAACTCTACGTTCTCTCTAGGTCGCCTGCAGCGTGCGTGGATGGCAGTGAGGGGACGAGTCCGAGAGCGCCCGAAGTGGAAGTCATGTCGAGGCCCGATCAGTGCTGTGCTTGTCAACCATTTTAGGATCGGGTGGTCCATGTCGGCTGCCCATCTGATCGTTGATGACCGGGGCGAGGTCCAGGATGTGTTACACGCTGCCCCATTCGACCGGAAGGTACAGTTACGCGAGGGGATCTCAAGGCGGCAGGCTACGAGTATTCGTTGTCACCTCCCCCGAGCGTCACGTAATGAACGCCTGTGGCTTCGAGGCTTGCGACCGACTGTCCTTGCGATCAAAGACAGGGCCCGTCGCGCGGCCACGAGGTGCTTGGTCGGCAACGCCATGCGGATCCTAAAAGGGAAGTTACAGGTAAGCCCCAGCGAGTCGCCAAACGGTTCGCTGCGCAGCAAGAGTGTAGTACGCTCCCTCGGGCATCTGTTTTACGATTGCGAGCCCGTGTTTGACCACCCAGGGTCCGCAGACCAAGAGATCCCAGATGATGTTATAGTTTGCAGATCCGAGCTCAAGGACAGAGGGGACATCGCCGAACACGTCCACGTGTGGGGATCTTTTGAACTGTTTTACGTGTTGCCGTGCGATCAAGTGACGTTGCCCCCTGTCCAAGACAAGCTTCCTCTTCTTGTTTGGGGTGGGGCCCAGTCGCCGTGGGGACAGAAGGTCTACACTGACGAGTCTGGGCTGAGCAGCAGCAGCCTTGCGCTCAACAGATGTGAACGGTCTATCGTCGAGATCGGCCCTCGTGGGCTCCCGATTCGGCCCGTTTCGGTGGCTTGCCTGGGCGGGCTCAAACTGTCCCCAAGGCCGAGCGGTATGCTATCTTCCAGACACTGCTGGTTGTGACGTTCGCTTTTGTGTCCTGGTTCGCCCAATCGGCTGCTGTCGTTGACCCAGGAGCTCGCGGCCCAGTCCCCTTCGGAGCCTGGTCCTACGGCTGACGAGCCTGGTCCTTCCCTGGTCCTTAGTCAGCATGAGCTGTGCCACCTCCCGGCCCTCAGCGAGTGGCGGCACCGTGCTGATAACCTGTTCGCCGAGATCCCCTCGTCTCTCGCTCAACTCAGGAGCCGGAACATGAGGGTGTGCGATCCGTCATCCTTTCAGGGGCGGCAAGCCAGTGCTATCTTCACGCTGCGCGGCACCGAGGGCATCCCCTCTGCCATGCTTTCCTCGGCGGCTGCGTCTGCGGCTCGCCAATCTGCGGAGGCGAGAGGAAGTCCCGGGCCCCGCCGCAGAGGAAGTGAGAGCGCCGCTATCCGAGGTGCTCACTGCCCGTTCTGTTGCCTTTGGCCACTGCATGGAACTCGCCGGGCGGGTTTTGTTTTGCTGCCTTTGTGCAGCCCACCCGATCCTTCTTGGAGGAAATCTGAGGAACCTGGAGCGGGCCTGCAATGGCACAGTCAAATCGCATACTAAGGATGCGCGGTAAAGATGCAAGGGCCTCGGAAGGCCATGGCGACGTTTTTCGAACGCGGCTGGCCAGCGAAAGTCGCGAGCGAAAGTTCCTGATGGGCCGAAGTGGCAAGGATGCGCTTGCAACCCTGGGAAGCTGTTCGTCCTTGGAACATGCCGGGCGGTTTTGGTCTGCTCCCTGTGTGCGGCCCATTCGATGCCTCTTGGGGGAAATCTGAGGAGCCTGGAGCGGGTCTGCCATGGTAGATGCGAGCATCCGTGAGCTCGGAGTTCCCAGGCCACCGAGATGAAACACGCTGCCAGGGGGAGGAGGAGGAGGAGGAGGAGGAGGAGGAGGAGGAGGAGGAGGAGGAGGAGGAGGAGGAGGAGCCTGACCCAGTGCCTCGTCGGACCTAGGCCAGAAGAGCATCCTTCAAGAACAGGAGGCCCTCCGTCGGCCAAAACACACACAGAACATCCAAGGGTGCCCTCCCCAGGAGGCACAGCAGCATCCAACGGGCACGAAGAGCACTATAGGGTATACCCTCCCCGAACGGGCCTCGATCTTTTACCTCGGTCCGGCTGTTAACCTTTGACTCAAGGTGGGGGGAGGGGGGGGTGCTGTCGAGTGCCACCCTGGTCACCTGACCAGGTTTGGGCGCTGCAGCGTCTCCCCCTCCGTGGTGCCCCCCCCGCCCCCTCCACCAGTGGCTCCCTCCTCCGCCTCCGCCCTCCTCACTCCCTCCCCCTTTCTTCTCCTTCCTCGTCCTTCTTCCTCTCCCTCCTCCCCCTCCTAGTTCTCCTTGCCCTCCACCACCTGCTGCTCCAACCGTGTCGGGGCAGTGCGCTCTCTGTGCTTCGTGACTGTCCTGCCGCTCTTGCCACTTTGATTGCAGGGCAGTTGCTGAGGGCATCTCCTGGGCATCGTGACAGAGGGCAGAGCGGTACACTTTGAAGGGGCCCAAGGACACACAAAGAAAAACACACACACACACACACACACACGCACAACTCCAACGATACCCCGTATTTTCACACATTTTCCGGGTTTTCGTCTCCCCCCCCCACTTCCGATATGTTCCCATATTCTCCTGGGAATCGACGATTCATCGTGTCTGTGTGTGTTTTTTCCCCTCCTGACGCTTGCAGCCCCCTGCCCTTGGGGCGACGCCGCGGCGACAGGACGCTCAGAGAGACATCCGGGGAGCACGCTGACGGCCCGACCAACTCACGCCTGCTGACCAGGCAGCTCATCAAGATCCTGCATCGACTGGTGCTTCGGCACCGCCGCCGCTTTCAGGAGCCGCTCGCGCTCGCCATGGCCAGGGCGGCATTCGCCGCTCCCGGCGACGTCGCCGCACCACGTGGTCCACTGGCCAGTCGCACAGTCCAGCGCCTGAGCTTGCTGGGCGACCACGCAGCACGCGCAGAACGTCGATGAGCAGCAATTCGACAATGGGTTCACACGGCTAGCATTCATCGCCTGCCTGACCGAGTTCTGGAGGTAGCAGATGGCACAGCAAGGGCAGATGTACATCCATAGCCAACTCGGCCAATAAGCGCAGGCGCCAGTCTTGTCGAAAGTGTGCGCCGCGCGGGACTGCATGCAGTAACACGATAACAACAAGTTCTGCGGACTCACATCCCACACTGCGCAACAGACATACCGATCCAATATTTGTGAAGATTTGAGATTCGCTGGAGGGGCTTCCAGCGACCGGTACTTCCTAACAACAGCAAAATAGTAGACAACAGCCAACGCAAGCTGCAAAATGAAGCTGTCCCGCTTTCTTTGTCCCTCCCGCTGGTCTTCTTCTTCCTCTGCGGCTTCCAACTCGTCGGGCGAAATTCCACCCACAACCAACAATCCGTTTGGTTCTCCTCTGTCCAATTCTTTTTGTAACCCGCGCCTGCGCAGCAGTCGAATCCGCAACCGCTCATCAGGACTTGCATGTTGCCGAGAACTTGTCAGAGTGTTGTTCCGACCCGACGCTGGCATCAGCCTGGTCATTACTTCTGTCTGGCTGGGATTCGAACGACGCGCTTCCTGCCGGGAAAGGGCGGTGGGTAAGATCCTCCGCGCAGCCTGCTGAGACGAGAGAGCCTGGCTGGGTAGAAGCTTTTGAACGGCAGTCGTTAGCCAGGGAGGGCCGACCTCTTCCCCCAAGAGCAGCAACAATACGAGCGGCAACGCGGCGGCGGCCACACAAGCAAGGCGCATGCACCGAGAGCTGACTGGAAGGATCAGATTTGGCGTCATGGCGGCGACCAACACATTTGGAGGCAAAGTCCTGAAACTTGGAGGCGGCCCGGGGGTCTGAACTGGATAGACCTCAAGGAAATCGGTCAGGCAGGGGAGACGCAGGCAAATCAGCCGGACGGTCCCGGGGCCCAAAAGCCGCTCCAGGAGACATATTCCTTTGAATCGGCGATAACCCAGGGTATCCGGGGGGGGAAGGGGGCCGGCCGATAACCTAACCTTCGCGCTGTGATGCCCGCGCCTCCCCACCCCGGACCCGCACAACCGGCAAAGTTAGGTTATCCTGGGGGGGCGGGGAGGGGGGCAAGCCCGATAACCCGGGTTATCGCAAGACCCCAAAAGAAGTCTCCAGGAGGTCGAGAACGGCAAACGCCCCATCGAACCCAGAACGTCAAACCTCTCCCCCCCCCCTTTCCTGCTCGGCGGAAACAAACTGGGCCACCCCAGACCCCCAGCCGGCTCCAGCCTGCAACGGCAATTCGAGCCACAGCGGCTACGGAGGGTGCGTGGCCGAAGCGGGGGCTCCGCGGCGCGAACCCTTCCCCTTGCTGCCCCGCGCGACCCGCCGGGAGGTGCGGGCCCCAGGGATAGACACCACCACCACCACGTCGGATCCCCCTCCCTGCTCTATACCCGCCTCTTCCTTTCCTCTTTCCTGGGGCTATGCTGCTCCCATCGTGCATAAGGACCACATCCCAGAAATGATTTCGACACCCGACAAAAGTGTCGAAAGGGTGTCGAAAGAGTGTCGAGACAGTGTCGGACGAGTGTCCCTCCCAGGGCCCGACACGTGGACACCCTTGACTTTCTGGGTACTTCTCTGGTGCTCGAACTTCTTTCTGGTGGTCAAGGCTACAGTAGGCTGGAATATCAGAATCCTTGGGGGGGGGGGGAGGGGAGGGCGGCGATGGTGGTGTATCTATTTTTGGGCCCCGCAGGAGACCCACCCGCGGCCCGAACGCCGCGCCCCGCCGGCGGCCCGTGCCCGCGACCCGCCGGCGACCCGCGCCCCGCCGCCGTTGCGGCGCGCGGCCGCCCGCGGCCTTGCCATTTAGGTCGGGCATGCCCTCCCCGTACGAAGGGGCTCCAACGGAGGTCTGGAGGGGCGCCGCCCGCAGGCGTCCCGACCCACCCCTTCGGGCACACCCCTCGCGAGGATCGCGGCCCCACAGGGGAGCTCCACCGAGGCTCCCAGGTGCGCCGCCCGCATGCGTCCGTCCCGCGCAATTTCGGCACAGCCCTCTCACGAGCATCTCGGCCCCAGAAGGGCGGGTTCTGGGAGAAAAGCGTAGAAGAACCCACACATGTTCCCAGATACCCAGAAATACTGGAAAACTCGCCCCCGGACTGCTTGTGTAGGGGGCCACATGCGAACCCTACCCCTACCCCCCACCCTCCCCCTCAGAAATCGTGGGGGGTAGGGGTAGGGTTCGCATGTGGCCCCCTATTGTGGACCGAATTCTGATACTTCCTCCTGTAGAGGGACATGCCCGGCCGAGGTCTTGCCTGGAACTGCGGCGGCCTGTGGGCACTCCGGGCAGAGGCCGCACTGGGTGCTGCCATCGGGGACGGAGCGGAACGGAAGCCAGCGCCGAGGCTCCGCGAGGGAGCTGCCAGAAGGGGCGAGTCCCGCTCATGTGTTTCGGGTCGGGCGAAGAGGGGGGATAGCAAAGGGGGGGTTTGAGAATCAGCTCACGTAGCTGATTTTCCCGGCGCCTCCCGGCGCCGGAGGCGGCTATGTATCGAGAAATAGCCCCCTCGGTGAGGCCGAAACCAGCTGCATGCAGCAAATTTCGTACCCCCCCCCTTCCCAACCTCCCCCTTTCGTCCGGCCCGAGTGTTGACGTAATCGCCCCTCCGATGGTCCCATACCTCTGACCGTCCAGAGGGCTCAAAAATAGCTCTCCGGACCTATAGACCTGTCTGGGCTGCTTAAAACCTCGACAGGAATTCAGACGTCAAGGTCCTGCTGCTATTTCTGTGTCCTCCTGGAGGGTTAGGGATACCTCTGACTTCGCGACTTGTGTCCAATCGCCGCAGCCAGCGGTTGTCGGCAGTGTTTGACATAATCCCCTTGGGCAAAACGCCCTTTAGTGAAAGCTGCCAGAGCACTCCACGTGCGCACGGCACCGCACTCCGAGTGCACCCTCGTGGGGTAGCTTATCGACGTCCAAAGCCAACCGGATGTATCCGGCGAGACGCACGTCGATTAGCGAAACCGACTTGGGAATGCACCGGTACACTAGACTGACACTGCCGAGTGAACCCATACATTTTCCTCAGTCGGCATGTCTGGGGCTGCATTCTGTCAATGCCCGATATCCGCGGAGCTCATCTCACTGCCACTTGTGCCCGCCATGCGCGTGCTGCGTTGAGCCGCAGACTGCGAGCTGCAGGCCTCTCAGGTCGCCGAGGGGGATGCGGAAGATCAGCGCTTGGGCTGCGCTCTGATATGGTTGCCCGAGTAGCGCGCAAGCCATGATCTAGAGGAACAAAAACTATAAACATAGTCTTTCGGAGGTCGGCGCTGGATCCCCCTCCCTGGCGCGTGGACCGCGCCGAGGGCGGCGCTGGAGGCGCCGCTATGGGGGCCCCAGGCGCTGATCCGAGAAATCCGTGTGGAGCTCCGAGCACTTATGTTTATTCGGAGGTTTTCTTCCTCGTCGATCGGAGGACTCCTCTGGCTGCCAACGGCGGCCTGCAGACGAGCCCCGCAGGGAGAGCCTGCCGGAAGGCCGGCAGCACAATTGAAGGGGCCCTGGGACACACAAATAAATACACACAAATAACAGGATTCCCCATATTTCCCCATATTTTCTGGGTTTTTGTCTTCCCCTCCACTTCCCATATTTTCCCATATTTTCTGGGAATCGACGATTAATTGTGTCTGTGTGTTTTTTCCCCTCCTGAACAATGACGGCCGAGTCACCTTGGAGGGCCCGCGAGACGCCGGCGGCCACGGGGCCCGGCGACTGCTGGCCCTGCACCCCGAAGGCGGCAAACCAACTCCCGCGCGATTTCTGCGAGCCTCCAAGGGTGAAGGGGAACTGGGACACACAAATAAATACACACAAATAAAACGATTCCCCATATTTTCCCATATTTTCTGGGTTTTCGTCTTCCCCCCCACTTCCCATATTTTCCTATATTTTCTGGGGAATCGACGATTAATTGTGTCTGTGCGTTTCTTTCCCTCCTGGTGGAGGTCTGTGGAAGACTCCAGAGGCCGCCGACCACGGCGACGGCGACGCAGACGAGGGCGAAGACGACGGCGCCGACGTTGACGACGACGCCGGCGACGACCACCACGGCGACGTCGACGTCGACGTCGACGTCGACGGCGACGACGTCGTCGTCGACGACGACAACGACGACGACGACGACCCCCAGGTCACAGGATGGGCCTGGAGGCCTCCGGTAGCCTCTGGAGGCCTCCAGAGGCCGTGCAGAGGCCAAGCCTTCCAAAAGCTCCCTCTTCGAGCCTCGAGGATCGATCCTCGACCGTCGGCCCAGAAGTCTGGGGGTGTCTGGGGCTGTGCCGTCCTTGATTTTGGACGCCCGAAATAGGTACGGAAAGAATGGGTACAATGCCCAACAACAACTGTTGTTCCAAACCAACAGCGGCCGCTGTTGGGCGGGCGGCCTTCTGTCTCGAATGGACGCAGGCCGCGGCGGCGCGGACAGCGAGCCCTGTTCAAAGTGAACAGGAACTGCTGTTGGGCACCGTACCCATTCTTTCCGTGCCCATCTCGGGCGTCCAGATTGATGGGGGCCGCCAACTCTGCGCAGCTCTGGTGGCGCCGGCGGCCCCAGCTGCCTCTGCGCCCTTACGCGCTTGCTTGGGGAGCGGGGGGGGCACGATCCCTGTGAAACGATACCATGGGAGTCGCTCGCGCGCGTCGGCCGCGCGCGCATGCCGAAATCCTTTCACAACCTCCATCGCCGACGCGTGGACATCATCTTCACCAACATCACCCACATTGTTATCATCAGCATCATCATCACCACCATCGTCATCATCATCTTAATCATCAGCATGCTGACCATCATCATTATGGCCATCATCATCATCATCATCATCATCATCATCATCATCATCATCGCAATCGTCAAAATCGTCAGCACCATCATCAGCACCACCATCATCATCATCATCATCATCATCATCATCATCATCATCGTCGTCATCAGCGTGACCAACATCGGCGCCGTCATTGGCCGTGCCGTTGTCATCGCCATCATCGTCACGATCATCGCTACTATCATCCTCGTGCCCGCATTTGTCGATGCCACCATGATACCGCGCCCGCCCGAATCACTGATTCGCACTGACGTGCCCGCGCACCAGCGCGGCCTGCGAGACGCGTCGGGCAGCGCTGGCCGCGTCGGTCGCGCCAGACTAGCTGGCCGCTCTGCGCGCGAGCTTGCGTGTGCTAGCGCTGCCGCGGCGACGCGTCAGCCAGCGCCAAGCAGTCATCGCAAGCGCTGCTACATCGGCTTTGCAACCTAAGTTGCGGGCGGGTGGGTGGGATGCTTGTGCGATCAGCGGAGAAAACTCCAACTTCTTCACACATAATTGCACCACGCAGATAGCTTCGCATAGTTTGCTCCACATAGAGATTGCCCAACAGATATGTCATCATGATTGTACAACGCAGATCGCACGACATATATTCAACAACGTGGGCGGCACAACATATATCGCATCGACATACGTTGCACGACGTAGACTGCACAATATATATATATATATATATATATATATACATATTGCTAGAAACACACTGGTTGGGGCCCACGCTGGTTAACTTTTGACGTGGCAGTACCAGATCTTCGAAGATCCCCACCCCTTCTCGCGGACTGCTTCTGTAACCTGACTCGTGTTGGACAGTCCTGGGGTCCAAGCAAGACCCCTGGAGCCTGAACTGATCGAAACGTCTCCAACTAATCTTTGTTCAAAACGCTGGAGGTCCAGGAATATTTCGGACACGCTGGGGCTCGCTCCGCTTGGGTTGGTCAGACGTAGAACTCGAGTTGGGAGGACTCAAGTTGGGCTGACGGGCCCGCCGGAAACATGACGAGACCCAATCTGAAATTTGGGGCGAGCTCCCGCTGCAAACAACCCACGAAAACTGAACCGTCAAAGTCTTGGGCGGGCCTGTCAAGAAGCGTCGGCGAGCCCGAGTTGCGGAGAACT